ACTCTATCAACTCAACGAAATAATGAAATGCAATCATCCCAAACAAACAGTTAGATGATGTGGCAACATATGGGTAAGTTTGCTTAACTACTAAGGGTGCCCTTAATTAGTGCTAATGCTCGCATGTTGTAAGAGGAGTCACCACAACACAAATAACCAGCTAGTGCGTGCTTGCTCCTTTAGTTTCCCTCTTTAACTTCATCATCATCACAGCCCAAACATAATAAGCTTGTAGGAGTACTAATTAAAGCGATTAATTAGAACCGTTCTTTGCTTGAACCCTCTTTCTTATGTCGGCCCATTTGTTATATAGATTTATATTAATTTATTTACTTTTTTTACCTTTTCGAAAACTATATGAAAACTTCGTACGTTCAAACCCATTGATGAGATGACGTTTACATGTTCCTCGATCGCTACATAGCTTGAATTAGCACCTCGATCAATTTATATATCTCTTTAATTAGTCATTAGCCAATTACCAAAAGAAAGCTAGGCTGCAGCAGGTGTTGCATGTAGTAGCTAGATGTGAACTGGTATTTGTTTTTTTTTTTTGCAAATTACATAGAACAATACAGACACTCACAACTTTTGTGTGCACATATATATGCATGCTGTAGCAAACTGAGCGTACAATAATGCTTAGGTTAGTTCTAGTTTTGGAATTGGGTGATTGGATTTTTCTATATTTATTCTAGGAGAAATGGCCCTATTGTGCATGTATTATCAATCTCAGAATCTGTCAAATCGGTCTCTCAGATGTGTTCATCGTCGGTTACATAGTGTGTATGTGTGTGTTTATACATAGGAATAAGCGTGTGTAGTGTCTCTTATATATTTTGATAAAAACAAAAGTAAGTGTGTATATATATGTATCTAAAAAAAGTGTATATATATGCATGCTGAGCGCACGCGCATTGCGGCGACTTTACAGTCACAGGTATGGTTAAGAATAGAATGTAGGTCATTCGTCGTGTAAGTACATATATGGAATGGTGACGTGGTTGACTGTGGTAAAGGATGCAGAGAGGTTGCGGCATGCAGTGGAATACACTCTCGACGTATGCATGGTTAATGTTGGCCACTGAGACATGAACTACGGGCTCGCCCTGGAGCTGGAAGAAGAAACAAAAGTGACCTTGTATTTAATTACTTAATACAAGGTTGGGGTCAAACTATAATTTGTTTGACTTTGTTGACCCAAAGTTTGACCGTTCGTCTTATTCAAAAAATTTGAGCAAACATAGTCCAATTTAAGTTATTCTTGAAGAACTTTTGTTAATAAAGCAAGGCACAACAAAAGAAGTGGTATTTAGCATAAAATTTTGAATAAGACGAGTGGTCAAATTTATGGTCAAAAAAGTCAAACGAATTATAATTTGGAACGGATTTAGTACTATTAGGGATGAAAACGGATCAGATACGGATGGATATCACCGATATTGCATTTGTTTTCATATTTCTAGTCGGATTTGGATTCGAATACATATAGTGTCAGCCATGCCGGATATGATACGATTCGATGTCGACATCATAAATATGCGATTTGAGTTTTTTGGATACGGATACGGTATCGAATGTTGAATATCGGACTCGGATACGGACAGATCTAAACCTCTCTAAACGAATTCGGTCTCGAATACGGTCGGAAAATATCCGTACCGTTTTCATCTATAAGTACTATATATGGGCTCGGTTTTAAGAGATGTTTTTGAAGAGAAGTTGGTTTCGATTCTCTTTTTAGACCAAAGACCGATTGGTCCCGCTTTATAGAAAGCAATATGTTTTGCTGGGAACACCAGCTTACAAGCAACAGTTCTGAATGTGCACTTGGCACTCCCCTCGTAACAAAACCCGTTCCAGAAAGCAACTACCAAAGATGGTTCAACATAACTGAAAAAGAAAATTACATCATAGCAAAACGATCACAATTAAGGTGTTACACCACTAATCTTGGACGTTTAGCGCCAAATGTCTTGATAGCTTTTCCACTGTCTTCGAAATCCAGCTTCTTTCCTTCTCCTTAAATAGGATACTCCACTTCTGCATAAAGATGATGGATCGGTGCACAACATCAGGGCTTGTTATGCTTTTATTATTGAAAACAAAGTCATTTAGAATTAACCAAAGACTCCAGCATATGCAAGCTAAAAGAAAAATCATCCTGGGTTTAGGAACACCCCCTCTACCACTACTAAGATTGAGAAATTGCTGCAGATTTATAGGCTCTAATGACCAAAAGAGTGCATCATGATATGTCCACCAGCAGTAATTTTCTATAAAACACTAAAGAAAATGTGTTGAGTCATCTCAATCTGCCCACACACTTTGCAATGCTCATCTCCCGGCCAATTCCGTCTAACCAGCTGTTCTGCTGAAGGGAGACAGTCTGGCTTCGATTCTCTTATCAAACAGGTGTTTCTTTTCATGGTTTCTATAAGAGACCAGAAATATTTCTACTTTTTTTAATCTCAGAATATAATCATCCGGTCGGGATTCCCTATAGAAACCATTTTTCTTTCAGTCAGTAGGGATTCTCATGTTTCTAAAGAGAAACAGATTGGATCAGAATCTCTATCAAACACACCTCATTAGCTAGAAAAAATAAAATCTATATCTAGAGCGAAAATTTCTCTTATCTGAATTCTCATCCTAGAGCAACTCAAGTGACTCTTTATATCCTTTTGTATTGATAGGAATAGCGATTTTGTGAAAAAGCCCTCTCATATTGTCATCTTTTATTTCGGAGAACGGGATTGGCTCTCCAAAGTGCATAAGACATATATAAGTTGTTAAAGAGTGAAAAGATATAAATAACGTTTTTTTTTCAAATGGCTCTCTAAATGATAATTTAGAGAGTGATTTTAAGAAAGACCGTTGGAGATGCTCTAACTCTCTCCCCCAGCCCATGTGTCCCTACACTCTCTGGCCCAAGCATAAGAGTAATGGTCGATTTTATTAAGAATAGTATATATGGCACGTGAATTATAGCTAGATAAGAGTTCTAATTGATTTATTGTGTCGGCGGTGACCCAAATTCATGACTTGTGCTCAGTTGTGGACAGAGGGGGGGGGGGCGGGGTAGAGGCAAAACTCTCCCAAGCTGTAGTATTTTCCATTGAAAATTTTCAGATTCAACCAATTTTGACAAATTTTTTTTTGCACTGTTGGTCTTCCATAACAACAAAAATTGCATTTCTAGCTCCACCACTACCAGTACTCATGCAAGTTAGTATAACACACGTCTAGCCACGGCACAAAGTGTCATTCCAAAAACGTATTAGAACAAATTACACAAGCTATATATGTGTTTCGTTGCAATACGCGTGCATGCCTGCTATAGTAAAATATACATAAAAGAGAAACAAAAAAAACTATGACGTGTAGAACCACTAATTTTGTCAGCCCCATTTTTAATTAAGTTGGTTTCGTGCATTAGCACTCATAAATGAATCCTCCTGCCGCTATCAGCGGGTACGCCGTACACGTAGACTTGAAAAGAAAAGGTGACATAGGGCAAAGGGAGCTTTTATCAGCAGAAAAGTTACCAAGCTGGTTCTACATCAATACCGTAGTTTCACACTTTGTTATCTGCAGCAAGTACTGCACTTTCCATTTTTTTTTGATAAAATACTGCACTTTCCATTATCCCCCCACAAGCCACAAACGTCCCGGCAGAGATCCGCATTATTGAAGCAAATTAGGCACGCCAACAAAACCAGCAACTTGTGTGCTCCTGGGAATAAGAATTCAAGTTCAGTTCCACAGATGCGTCCACTATTATCTCGCTGTGCGCCCCCCCCACCCACCCACACACACACACAAACCAACCCCAAAAAACGATAGGTTTAAAACAAATAAACATTTTTCATTTTGACTAAATTTACAAAAAGAATAGTATAAATATTTATACATATTCAAATGTGTTGGGTCTGTATGAACTGAGCTTGCCAGCGTTGCTCCTCGCCATAGGTGGTGAGTTTAGTTCAATCACAAACATGTAACAAAATATTCTCTTCTCCTTAATGAAATACGGTACGAACCTAAAAAATGGATTATTGTAAAAGTATATTATGGGGGTGTTTGGGACTACTCTGCTCCCGTTTTTCCAGCTCCGCTCCAGCTCTGCGTTGCTAAACACCTTCAGCTCCAGGAACTCTGCTCCAAGAAAAACGTGGAGCTGAGAGCCAACGCCACTTTTTTTTTTGGAGCACCTCCGTACTCCCACGTGGAGTTGAGGAATAATTACCCATGTTGCCACTCTCTGATCACTGGTTCCATCTCTTGGACTGCTAGGCTGTGTGCCAAACAGTATCACCTGCTCTACAAACTCCACGGTGGAGCTACTACATGGTGGAGTTGGTGGAGCGGAGCTCGAAAATGGGAGCGGAGCAGTCCCAAACACCCCATATATAACCATCGAGCTATCCTTGTAATTTAGTAATGTAGATGTTAAAATTTTAAATATTTATTAGTTAATTTTTAAATTATTTGCCTACTTGAAAGCAAGAATTACATTCTTCTAGAACGAAGGAAGTATATATATCTATACTCCTTTCCATCCATTCAACGTACGGACATCTCTCTCCCCCGGTGTCAGTTTGTCTCCTTCGCGCTGATTCGTTTCATCAATCCAGCAACGTACAACTTCCCTTTATTTCGTCACACGAGATATAGGCAGAGGTGTTTTTTTTGCGTTGTGCTACGTAGCTCTCTTGAGAACCAAAACTTGTTCCCTGTCGATCCCTGCACATCCATCCATCCAGTACGTGTCGTCCATCTGATCGATACGTACATTCCTCTCTCTCTCTCTCTCTCTCCTGCTGGGTGCTGACTGCATACATACCCCCTCTCTCTATATATACGATGGAGCAAGGAGCTCAATGACGACAAGGGCATCATCCCATCCATCACTAAGCTAGTAGCTGGGTGATCTGCTAGCTAGCTAGCCGTTTCAGTTCCTCTGTTGAATCTTGATCGATTCGTCACTAGAAGAAGAGATGATCGCGTGGGGTGACATCTACAAGGTGGTGGCGGCAATGGCGCCGCTCTACTTCGCGCTGGGGCTCGGGTACGGGTCGGTGCGGTGGTGGCGGTTCTTCACGGCGGAGCAGTGCGGCGCCATCAACACGCTGGTGGTGAACTTCTCCATGCCCTTCTTCACCTTCAACTTCCTCGCGCGCGCCAACCCCTACACCATGAACTACCGCGTCCTGGCCGCCGACGCCGTGTCCAAGGCGCTGGCCATCGCCGCCGTGTCCGCCTGGGCGGGCTGCTGCCGTGCCAAGGCCGGCGGGCAGTCCTGGGCCATCACGGGGTTCTCCCTCGCCGGGTTCAACAACACGCTCGTCGTCGGCGTGCCGCTGCTCTACGCCATGTACGGCAAGTGGGCGCAGGACCTCATCGTGCAGATCGCCGTCGTGCAGTCCCTCGTCTGGTTCCCGCTCCTGCTGCTGGGGTTCGAGCTGCGCAAGGCGTGGGTCGGCATCCCCGCCCAAGGCGGCGGCGTCAGCCGTTGCAGCAGCAGCAGCGGCAGCGATGACGACGACTCGGCAGGAGGCCGTGTGGGACCGGTGTCATCGTCGTCGTCGTCGTCGTCACCGCCACCGTCGCCACCGCCCAAGAAGGACGCCGCCGCCGAGAAGGATGTCGAGATGAACGCGGAGGAGGAAGCCGCCGCCGCCGCCGGGACGACGATCCGGCTGTGGCCGATGGTGAGGACTGTCGGGCTGAAGCTGGCGGGGAACCCCAACGTGTACGCCAGCGTGCTCGGCGTGGTGTGGGCGTGCATCGCCTACAGGTACGTGCTAGATAGATCACGATCGGTCTCAACCTGCACGGCCGGCCAAGTGTCACCCGCCGTCATACTCGCGTGCATGCATGCACTCCTGCACCATCTCGTGTCACAGACGTGTGTGTGCGTTGCTTCATTGCTTGGCTCACGTGTCCAAACTGTGGCGTGCATGTGCATGCAGGTGGGATCTCAGCATGCCGGGCATCGTGACGGGATCGGTGGACGTCATGTCCAAGACTGGCACGGGGATGAGCATGTTCAGCATGGGTAAGACGCGACCAAGTAGCCATGCATGTCTTTTTGTGGGCTGTGTTACATGTACAGAGATTAAGACCGAAGTGACATATACTTATATAAACATACTAATAACAAACTTAACATATATATATATATATATATATATGGTGTTGGATGATCGTTCAGGGCTGTTCATGGCGCAGCAGAAGATGATCGCGTGCGGCGCGGGACTGGCGTCGCTGGGGATGGCGCTGCGGTTCGTCGCCGGCCCGCTCGCCACGCTGGTCGGCGCCGCCGCCTTCGGCCTCCGCGGCGACGTCCTACGCTTCGCCATCATACAGGTGTGTGTGCCGTACGTCGGCGTCATGCTGCCCTGCACTCCTTTGCACTTAAATTCAGAGACACCAGTATAGACAGGCAGATGAGTCAGCTGCATGCATGGACTGTTTCTTTTTTTTTAAAAAAATATTACTGATCGATCGATCCTGCAAGGTCTCTGCTTTCTGTTTCGACGAAAGCTTGGGCAAAGTGACTGTGCACGCACTTTTAATTACATGCTCTTTAGTTAGTTTCAAAACGAAAATACATGCTCTTTCTGTGTGTCAACGAGCTCAGATAGTGCACGCTTATGATGCGTACGTGTAAAAGTGTGGTGCACCGAAAAAATCACTGTGCACGGCAGGCGTAAAGGCAGGGTGCAGTGGCCACATCCTCTTGGCCATCTGCTTGCATGCGGTACCTCCTTGCGGTGACCAAACTAAACTTTTGGTCTGAGATCGACTCTGACTGCAGTGCAACAGTGCACATGCCGATTCCTAACGGTGCATGCATACAGATATATCGAAACTGAAAGCCCCAAGTGTCCTTGTATGTTGTTATTGGAAACTCAAAAGTACAACCACTACCATGCATGGCATATTCCAGAGGATCTTTAATTTGCTTGGAATTTTAGATTTTGTATTGGAAAACATGAAGTTTTGGATATAGCTGAATTTTTGGACGGTATCCGTACGTAGACAATGTTCATTTTTTTAAACAGTTTAACACGATGTATATACTGCAGGCCGCACTACCACAGTCTATCGCATCCTTCGTCTTTGCAAAGGAGTACGGACTTCATGCCGACGTGCTCAGCACGGCGTAAGTCATGTCTTCCCTTGTGTGTTAAATTTCGTTCAAAACAATTTATTACCCAACGTATGTACGTAACTCGATCGAATTATATATATTGGTGCTCACAATCTTTGCGTGCCGTTGCATGCATGCAGGGTTATATTCGGGACGCTGGTTTCTCTGCCGGTGCTCATTGCGTATTATGCAGTCCTCGGCATCTTGTGAATTGAACTTGTGATGAAGAACATCATGCATGCATTATTCATGCTTAAAAGCATGCAGTAGTACCACGGTACCAGCTGAGACGAAATCCTATGGAACATTGTTTAGGCACACCATGATATGAAATTTTGGAACTTTGTTTGAGGCTAATTTGGTTAATTGGCAAAGCAATATGATCGAGTATTTCAATATATATGCACATCATTATTGAAGGGTGCGTTGTAATTTCTATTATTATTACATGAGAGAAAAAAGGAAAACAAAAAAGAGAGCATATAACACCACGCAAACGCCCGACCACTATTGCCAGCGAACAAAACATCCAACCAATGAAAATTTGACTAATTTTCATGTGGCACACGCGATCCACTGGATCTCAATCAGACAGTCCGTACATCATCTTCTCTCTCGCTACAGGAATCCTCAAATTTGCCGAGTATTTTTTTTTTGCCGAGTGTATTCCCTCGGGCACTCGGCGAACAAGTTCTGTGCCGAGTGCTGCGCTAAAAACACTCGGAAAAAAAACACTCGGTAAATAGGGGGTTTGCCGAGTGTCAAAAAAAAACACTCGGCAAAGAGGGGGTTTGTCGAGTGTTAAAAAAACACTTGGCAAATAAATAAAATCTTTTTTCTGGAAAAGAAGGAGAAGAAAAAAAATGAAAAAAACTTTGCCGAGTGCTCAGATCTATAACACTCGGCAAAAAAAAGAAAGAGAAGAAAAAAATGAAAAAAAAACTTTGCCGAGTGCCCCGATCTGGAACACTCGGCAAACAAAAAATATCTTACTTAACCCCAGCGCCCCATCTCCTCCTGGCCCTGCGCCCCTCTCTCTCCCGGCCCCTAGCGCCCCCTTTCCTCCTGCCGGCGCCGCCTCTCTCCCCTCCTCTCCCGGCCAGCCTCATCCCCTCCCCGGATCCGGCGCCCCCTCCTTTCCCGGCGGCGTGGCGGCGGGGATCCGGCGCCCGGCGGCCCCTCCTTCCACGGCGGCATGGCCCCTCCTTCCCCGGCCCCCTCCCCGGATCCGGCGCCCCCTCCTTTCCCGGTGGCGTGGCGGCGGGGATTCGGCGCCCGACGGCCCCTCCTTCCCCAGCGACGTGGCGGCCCCTCCTTCCCCAGCGGCGTGGCCCCTCCTTCCCCGACCCCCTCCCCCGATCTGGCTCCCCCTCCCTTTTTTCCGGCCGGCGTGGCGGCGGGGATCCGGCGCCCGACGGCCCCTCCTTCCCCGGCGGCGTGGTGGCAGGGATCCTCCTTCCACGGCGGCATGGCCCCTCCTTCCCCGACGGCGTGCCCGGCTACCCCTCCTTCCCCGGCCGCGTGCCCGCGGCCCCTCCTTCCCCAGCGGCGTGCCCGGCGGCCCCTCCTTCCCCGTGGCGGCGTGGTGGCTTTGTGGTGGTGTCGACGGCGGCATGGGCGGTGGTGGAGGCAGTGGCATGGGCGGTGGTGGCGGCCGGCGGAGCAGGGTGATTGTTTTTTTTTATTTTTTTCAAAAAATGTTTGCCGAGTGTTTTTGTGGCACTCGGCAAAGTCTTTGCCGAGTACCCGACGATTGACACTCGGTAAACAGCTCTTTGCCGTTAAAACCTACGCCGAGTGTTACAGTCGGTAAATCGTTTGTCGAGTGTTTTTGTGGTGGCACTCGACAAAGCTCCTGGTTCCCGTAGTGTCTCCATACTCCGTGTTGTACCTTCCTCGGTCTAGTGTCTCTAACTATATGTGCACTGTTCGTTTGGCTGATAAGCCATGGCTGAAAGTATTGTTGGCTGATTTGTTGTGAGAGAAAAATATTATTCGTTGGCTGAAAAAGTACGGCTTATAAGCCAAGCGAATATGGCGATATATGTTTCCTCAACCATAGGACCACCCACTGACAGTTAAATTTGCATCACTAGCTGGCGACATCCCCACCCTTTCACCCATAAGAGCATCTTGAAAGGATCTAGCGAGGGTCTAGAAAGGGATAAATAGGCTTGTTTTTCTGAAACTTACAAATTCGATCAAACTGTTAGATCGCGGAGCCTCTGCGTCCAGCTGAACAATTTTTTTACCGCTCAAGTCAGCTGCCCCTCCTCTCCGGTGTGTTGGTCTACCAACGTGTACTCGTTAGAGAGTTGCAATTTGCTCTTAACAATCGACGCAACTAGCGCCCGGACGCCCGGCTTTAGGGGCGCGGCCGGACGCACCTAATCCATGTAACGTTTCGATTCCGACCAAATACAATACGGACAGAGCGTGGCCCGTCCTCCCGCTCGCGCGCGGCTCGTCGTCCCGCCGCACCGCCATCCCGTCGTCCCGCCGCGCCCCAAGAGACCACCTATCCGATGCAAATAGAATGAGCACGCCCCCGCGTTTGAAAACGAGCGCCTCCCACGTGCGACCCGTCCATCGCCGCGCCGCCGCGCCTCATCGCGTCGCCATCCCTTGCACGCCCGTTGCCCTCCACGCCCCATCCCCACCATGCTCCACCACCTTGCAACACGAAGCAATGCGAGATGCAAACATCAGAAGTATTACTTGTTTGCAACATCAGAACAAGTCTACTGCAACATTAGAACAAGGCGACTGCAACATCAGAACAAGGCGACTACAATGCGAGATGCAAGATTAGAAAAAAAGACTAATGCAACAAAGAAATATTACTTGTTGCAACATCAGAACAAGGCTACTGCAACAACAGAACAGAGCGCAATACGAGAAAGCAACATCAGGAAAAAAAGACTAATGCAACAAAGAGATATTACTTGTTGCAATATCAGAACAAGGCTACTGCAATGCGAGATGCAACATTAGAAAAAAGAGACTAATGCAACAAAGAAATATTACTTGTTGCAACAGCAAAACAAGGCTACTGCAACAGAGCTCGTCGGAACCCTAGCCACCGCCGCGTCCCTCAGATCCAGAGGAGGAGGAGGAGGCTCAGATCCAGAGGAGGAGGTGGAGTAGGAGTAGGAGGGCTTATATCCAGACTACCTCGCCGGAGTATTATTGTTGGTAGTCGGCCTCATTATTGGTGCCAGAATTGGAGTTATTTGGACCTTTATTTGTACTTGTTTCGAGTGTTTTATTGCATGCTCTTTATCTAAATTGTTATTTTGTGCTATATTAAACCTAGAGTTTGCTCGAGAGAATCCATATCCAAATATAATACCAAATAAGTTGGATTCAAATTAACGAAGTTCTTTTTGGAGGGCTAGAGATGTCATACAATGCCTAAATAAATGGTCTATCCATGTTGTGGGACATGGCATCTGTGAGGTTAGTGTCATTTTTCAGATCTTTGGTTTATTCGTAGTCTGCTATGGATTATCTTAGCGAATATCGAATATAATATAATGCAAAACTGTGATTTAAATAGGTAACAAACATGGTTAAAAGCAATAAGACACTAGAGGACACATAAAAAACAGCTAACTCCAAGTGCACTTAGAAAGAATACATGCATATTAGGTTCATATTTTTTTGATTTAAAATGAGTTATTCATGAATATTAGCAAAAAAAAAACTATTTTTATTGTTTTTAGAAAATCCAAATAAAGCCACCTTAAACCAGATCTGTCCGCTACTAATAGTTTAATGATCAAAGATTCCTGAATTTAGAGTCGCCTGATCAAGAACAAACTTAGATGGCTAAAAATGGACTTCAATCCTTTTTAAACCATGTAATTAAAATTTAGTCCTCCAAAAAGAAGATTTTTGCAAATGTCATTTACCAGTGATATGATATTGTAAAGTCTTATGATTAATGATGGAACAACTTATTTTTCTCTTACCAATTGAACAATTTTGTTTAAGAAGTCATCAATTTCATTTTTTTATATGCAAAAAAGTAATGCCATTTTTCCAATATAGATCCAAATTAATCAAATTTGTACTATAGGGCATACGACTTTAAGCACATCTATAAAGCGATTTTACAAAGTCGTTCCACGGCAGTACCTACAATATATTGTTTTTAAATTTCATGGATCAATGCTATATATATTTTTTCATAATTAACATACGGAAATGCATTTAAAATAAAAAAGCGCGTTCCGTACGGTCGGCGCCGCCTCCCTTTACGTCTTCCCGGACGCCGCCGAACACAAGGCGTTCCAAAGGATTCCACGGAGAAATCATCGAAACGCACCAGTTCCCTGCTCACTCGCTCGCTGCAGACGGTGGTGACTGTTACCACTTGCAGATAGCAGCCTCTCGCCGGCGGCCGGCCGTCGTCGACCCGGTCAATCAATCTGCACTCCTAGCTAGTGGACGTGTAGGGTTTAGGTAGCTAGTGGTCATCTGGCTAACTGGCTTCCATCAGCTCAGCTGGTATGCGCATCGTCGACGACTCGTCGTGCGTCCTGGCAATAAGTTTATGCACGATGCGAGAGGCAGGCGGCGGCAGCGCCGCAGCCTGCATGTGATGGCCGCCGGGGCCTCTGCCCCTGCGCCGGTGCGCCATGCGCGGCACGCCCCGGCCCTCTCCGTGCACTGGCCAACACGCACGCATGCAAACTGCGGCTTGTTGCCCGGCCACCGTCGAAACAGCGGACATTGCTTAGACGTACGCAGACCGGCAGACCGCACAACCATTTCGATCGCCAAGCTTTTCCTAGGTCGAAACTCGAAAGCAAGCGGCTTTTGCATGCAAACGCAAACTTTTACAGCCGGCGCCGGCGCCGACGCCAACGCGCACTCTTCTTCGTCGGCCCGGCCGGCCTTCAAGAGTTCATGGCCTCATGCATGGCACACTAGCTCTCCACGGTTTCGCAAGAGAAAAGAACGATCGACATCGAGCGAGTGCGCGCCAACTGATGATGGCACCCACGATTCTACTCGAACGTAACAAGTCCTGTCCGTCCGGCCGGCCGGGAGCGCTGCACTTGCATAGCGTCTGGGATCATCGTCAGGTACGGTGGGCAGCGGGTAGCGGCATGGCGATTCGTACAGTCGTGCCACTAACCCTGTCATGTTGTCTTATAGAACTAGGATTCATCTACGGAACAGCACTTTGAGCAGCGCAGCAG